CCAAGGGCCCCATATCATACAACCAATCCCACAAATCACTGCAATATACTAGTACAAAAAATCCTTTCACAACAAAATCATAATAAAGTTGATATCTATTGAAAGGGCCATTCCCACAGCACTACCACATGCAGACTTTTGATGTCCTGTCAGCTCAATTTGGTGGATGCTCTAGTTGTCCAATTCCCGCTCCAACTATCACATCACCAGAATCTGTCCGTGTGCTCTTCTTCCGCTCCCACTGGAATCGTCCATGCTTCTCTACAGGGCGAGGAGGCTCCTGCTCAACGTCCAGCTTGGTCTTGTGCCCTTGCAGCCACCTTTGCACCTCGACCTTTATCATATCAAATTTCCACTGAGCTTGCATGACTTGCGCCCGTGTGTTCCAACCCTCGATGGCTTTTTGAAGAGTGGGTGAAACCATGTTGCACTTAGGCGGTCCTGGGGGCAGCTTGGTTAGAATCCGGTGCTCCTCCACCAATGCACCCAATGGCACGTCCTTCAGATATGCCTCATCCAAACTCTGCACATTGAGGCGCTTGTGGAAGAAATCTCCCATGATCTGCTATTGAAAGTTTTACCTGAATTTCATCCTCCACAATCTCCAGTGCATGCCATACCACTGGTTTGTTGTCTATGCGATGCAGCTCGGAAACTTCTATATCCCTCTGAGATGTGTCCCATGTGGGCTTCAACCCAGAATAGCACATGGTTTTGAAATGCAGGACCACCTCTAACTGCACCGCAACCGACAACGCTCCCATCTCAAGCGAGGCCTGGAAAGCCACTCCCGCCTGCTTCACCGTATCGAAGATACGGTAGCCATCACTCAGGGAGGCTTCCCACATTTCCATGAGTGCGCGCTGGAGATTGTTGGTGTGCTTTTAGACTTGGTCCACCATCACCTCTCCTCGCTCGTTGGTCAAGGACGCTTGGACCCCCAGCATAGCAACATGAGTAGCTTGGAATTGCTCTAGCTACTCATAAAATTCCTTGACCTCATTCAAGCCCAGGAGGGCCCGCGCCTTGTGCCACTCTAGGATCTGGTCTAGGCTAGCCGGAGCGCCCTCGCCAGTCAAGAAGCAGGCCATCTTCAGCAGTGGTTCGTTGGCTGGAGGGCTCTCACGTGCACTGCATTTTCAGCATAGCTACTCTCATACGGTGCCTACATGTCCGCCCCTCTCAAATGGCTGCGCATGGCTCATAAGTCAAATCAATCTATTTTTACCCAATTGGATCGCCATGTTCCCTATGGCCCCCAAACTGCAAGTGAAAGTATCTTTAAAATGCTCAGTTCTTCTCCAAATCTCCTCTAGAGGTGGCCACTCAGAGGTGCCATCCGGTCCGTTAAATCCGGTTCGTTAATTTTTATCAGCTGTTCGTTAAATTTTGTTAAAGAAAAAGGGAGAAAAATTCAGAAAAAACGAAAAAAATCCAAAAAAATCGAAAAAAACCCCAAAAAATCACAACAACTGCGGCTAGTTGAAAGTCTAGTATGCATAGGTTGAAATAAAATACAAACATACTCTCTAATAGCGAATTCCATAAGCTATAAGTATGAAAAACCCCCAAAAATCCCCAAAAAATCCAAAAATCCGCTAATTTTTGGGTAATTTTTGTCTTTTTTCGTTATTTTCCGTTAATTAATGGAAAATTAACGGAAATTAACCTCTGTCAGCTATTAACGGATCCGGGTGGCCACCTCTAATCTCCTCACCAAAGTACCAATCAATTGCTCAAGAAATTTCCTATCCATTGATATTCTAAACACTCCTTAATGACCATTCTACACCTATGATGACCACCCAAGAAGTTTACTCCTAGGCACGCTATCATCCGTGCCTCGCACGGTCGGCCTAACATATAGGCTGGTTTGACAATGCCCAATATTGCCAGCGATGTCCCTGATATGTCATCGCCCCTGTCCGCACCCGCATCCCCTCTGAATCATCCACCCGAGCCGACTCCGAACTCCGTGCCCGACACTCCCTGTCATCTCCGTGACCCCACCCAAGGTTCCGGGTCAGCATATTTCTCTTCCCCGGGCTCTGCCGCAAACCATCACCGGTCAGATCAGCAGTTAGTCCCTACTCCATAAGCCCAATAGCTCGGATTGCCCGAGACGGCCTTGCGTGCTTCATGCGAACATTCAGGCCATCGAGACCCTCCGGCCTGGGTCCTGGCCATCTGGAGTGAGGGCAAAAGCACACAGCTCCTTCCAAATGAAAACCACATAGGCAGAAAGAAAGGCCAAGGGGAGGCGGTTCGATTCCCCTAGCAGGAAAAAACCAGACCTACATGGACGTGATCTGCCATCATGTGCGTGGGCTCCCCCATCGCCGGTCCATGTTTAGAAACAGAACCGCCCAAGATGGCACTGGGCATTGCTCTGGTTTCGCACCACAGGGCCCCTCCTTCCCAGCCCCTAAGTTGATCGCAACCGTCGCTAGACAGAGGACATGTCCCGTGTTGTGTCACAGGGACCAGCGCTACCGGAGGTGGCACGGAGGTCTCGGGGGGTGTGGTGGCTTCGCATGTGCTTCGGTGTCTGAGATGCTTAGCTCTGCGGGGTTATGTGATAGCGCCCTGGATGTGGTCATCTTTTCTGGGCCCTGCTACCATAGTTGGTAGGCCGATACTATCCAGTAGGTCCCTTGCCCATACGATTCCTTCTCAGGGCCCACTCCTCCACTAGCCAAGGCTCCCCCGTACTAGAGTCCCTTGCCAGGGCATTCCAGGCCTCATGGGGCACCAGCATTTCGCAATTGAGGGTCGCATTATTAAGTGATAATGCTCTTATTATTGGTGACCCACGCATGTTCGGGTTGCCAATTAACGGGATTCATCAAACAATTATTGCATTAATGATATCACTCAGCTGGCGACCCATGAGGTGTAGATATAGTGCAGAGGGTGTGTCGACATCCTCAGCACCTTTACCTTGTTGATCATAATCAAATTCCAGCGCAAGGCACCCAAAATGCAGGGAGATAACAATGGCGCCAAAGATAGATGATGGATACTGCATCATACGCCCAAAGAGTTCATTGAGGTACTATAAAGATGCTGAGCACAACGTCAATACTTGGTCATGCATCACACGGAGACACATGAGTCAAAGATGCTTGAAAACATCTTGGAGCACTGAGGAGCACTCAGGTTGCTATTGGATACGTGCATTTGCTTAGGGGCTGCCCGCCTGGCAGCCTACCGTGGACCACGGGTGAGACGGAGCCATGAGGGGCGCGTGGAGGCACCATGTGGTAGTTTGATAGGAATATGCCCCGTGGGCCATTATGGATTTGGTGACCGCAGGAAGTGTGGCTGCTTGATGGGAATGTAGCCCTTGGGGCATCACGTGGTGGCTGATTGTGGGCAGTGGGGCGTCCTGGGTTGAGTTGTGGTGAAGCGGCAGGCGTGGCAGAAAGGTTCCGGGTATCAAAAGAGCATCTCTTTGGAATTTTGCCAGAGGGGTGCGGACAACGCTGGGGGAGTCTCCATTATTGCACCCAGTATGGCAGCTGCAGGAACGGTTGTGCAGCGTTCGCGTGTGCCTCTCGTGGCAATCTAGGCACTCAGCCTGGCTGCCTAACTCCCCTGGCCGTGTGCACAACGTTCGCCACGGCCTGAGCGCAATAGTGCTCGACCTTTTCAAAGGTCGCGGCCAGTCTGGGCCTTGTTTTCAAGGCGTTTCCTTGCCATTCGAGACCAGCACCTCTAGCGTCGTCTAGTTGCCGACCAGAACGCGCCAAGCCTCGTCTTTGCACAGCCTTGTCGAGGCGGAGAGAAGCGTGTCCTGTGTCATACACCCACGTGCTGTGGACAAGGCAGCCCTGACCCGTGGACCTGACCTCCGTTTTGACTTGGTCGACTGTTGAGATGCAGTTGCGACCGGTTGCGGCGCTCAGAGCGGCAGCTGTGAGAGATTCTACAAGCGTATTTACATGGCTGGCTGGCAGTTGGACGTTTGCTACCCGCTTCAAGCTTGCCCTTACCGTCGCCTCTGTTTAGTTGGTCATGTCGGCGTGCAAAGCAGTTCTTCGTAAAGAGCCAGTTCGCGCGAGGGGCAAAGCTTGTTCGTTGAGTGCACCCTCAACTGATGTGGTGCTGAGGCTGTCGACATGGCTCAACTGCCCGTTTGAGGGTGACTTTACTGCGCGATCTCCGGGGACGATGGCCAGAAAGGACCACTGTTCTTTGCATGCTATGAAAAGGGCTGAACGGTATTTGACTTTTGTAACATTATGGATTCGATAATATGCTGAGATGTCGAGGTTGAAGTGAACTGAGATGATGATGTATCAAATTGCACATGAAAATCGCGACGAGGGCATTGGCGATTGAGAGTACTGGGGCTGTATGTTGTAATTAGAACTGATTGAGTACTATTGACAACTGATTGTATAAAGAGATGATGAGGCATTAGGATTTTCATCAAGGACGTTGATGAATGGACTGAATATAAGGGACAGAACTCTTGTTGTCCCTTTGCCTCGGCTGTAAACCGTTGCCGTGGACTCGAGCGTACGATTCCCGTTCAGGGATCGCCACCCCTCGATCCTGCCTGCCTTCGTCATCATCACCTCCTAATGCGTCCAATTATTAATAACACTCGATCAGTTCGCAATGCAGCAACGCATACAGCATTTCATTAAAATGCGACTGCGGCCACCAAATTCGATCGGCGGATGAATGCACACAGTCCGACGTCCAACGGTCTGTCACCCCGCCTCCCGCCTCGTCACAGATGCATCCACACCTTCCGCGGCGGAACCTTGTTTCGCTGTCGGCTCGCATACCCCACCGCTCCACCGCCCTCCCAGTACGGCTATCCTCTGCGCTGTCACCTCAGCCCCGCCATCCTCCACTGCCATCGCTCGCCAACCCGCCCCTGCCCCCCGCGGAAGCCCAGCCCCTGCCGCCCACAGGGCCCACCAGAGCCGCGACACAGTCCCCATCCGAGGAAACACGCGCCGAGGGTGCTGCCCGACGGTGGAGCCATGCCCGCCAGGAACGGCCGGCAGGAGGAGGACTGGAGTTCGGGCCTGTTCGCCTGCTTCGACGACGCCGGCCTGTGTGAGTAAACTGCCCCCCACCCTCCCGCTTGTAGCGCAAGATCGGAGTGAAAATGAATGGTGCGGGCCACGGGGCCCCATTGTGTCGAGATCGTGGCGGTTTGGCCTGGAAGGGGTGTGGGGTAAATTTGACGTCCGGATCTGGCCGTTCGCGTTCTGATGGTGGATCATGTGGCACGCGGCAGGCATCTGGGGCCTGCTCTTCCCGGCGTGCCTCTACGCCGACAACGTGGCCTTCATCTCGAAGCGCCAGAAACAGGGCGCGCCGCAGAGCGCGGGCACCGGCTGGTGCTGCCCCTGCCTGACGTACTGCCTGTGCTTCTACTGCTCCTGCTGTGAGTGCCGGCGGCCCCCGCGGGATCGCCACACATGATCGTCGCCATGCGGTCAGTCGGGGCCCATGTCGACGGCCCGATGTTCCCAGTCCGCTGGCCGCGTTGTGACTGCTGTGATTGGATCTTTGCCACCGCACGGCGACTGGGCGCCGGCGCCACGCTTCCGGAACCGTGCCATTGCGCGTCGTCCTCCGGTGAATCGTTGGGTGGTGTTTTGGGGCCAGGCATAGCCGGCCTGTACAGGAACGACCTGCGGAGGAAGTACAGGCTTATGCAGGAGCCTTGCGGGGACTGCACCGTGCACCTGTGCTGCTCCCCGTGCGGCCTGTGCCAGGAGGCGCGAGAAATCAAGGTGAGCGGGCGTGGGCGCCCGCCGGGACCCTTGTGACGGGCTGCGCCGCTGACCCAGGAAATGCCGAGACTCGCAATCCACCGCGGCACAAGTAGGGGGCCGCGTTGCAGAATTTGCCCCCGCGGGGCGTTCAGCGCAGGTCGTGTGCGTGCAATGTATTGGGTGGGGGACGTCTTGCTGTCGACGTCCTTTTTGGGGGACGCCCAGCGGCCTCCCTCCCCGGGCTTGTCCTACACCTCAATTCTCGTCAAAGATGGACACCGTTGGCCCCTTGCAACAAATCAGTTTGGGGGTGGCATTGTGTCCAAAGTGGTGGGGCGACAAAGTATCGAGTCCTGCACCCACTCTGAGGGAAAGGTGTGTAGGGTTAATGGTGTTGAAAGCACACAATTGCCACCACTCCGCAGTGAGTGTTTGGCAAAGCACCTCCACACAACTGAGGAGCTCCAGCCATGGCGAGTAGAATTTGGGTGAATCTGCTGGACAGTCTGCCAAGTGGAAGTGCGCTGCAATCCTGCTTGATAGAAATCTGGCGTACCATACTGTTGGGGTGGCAGGCACTATCGTTGCGTTCTGCCAAACGCCATTCTGATGCACACCAGCGTGGACTCCCAAGTGTGATGCAGTGGTTTGAAAAAGGAAGCAGAAAATCTCAAGTGCTTACGTACCATAATATTTTGTGTTGTGGCAGTTTCAGGAAGCATGGAGGATGAATGCAATGAGCAACACAAGAATATAGATATATTGCCGGTTGGCTATGCGTCCCACTGCCTTGGCCTGGGCAAAGACTGAATTCCCAAGGCATTCCCAGGTGCATTTCTGATCTGCGTATTGCAAGGGATGACAGCAAACAACAGCTCTGTGGTTGCTTGGCTGCATCGGTGTCTTGGTGGACAGCTCAACGTACTTTCTGTGCAGAGGACACTGACTGTTGGGGATTCAAGTCGCTGTGGATCCATGAGGCACATTTCGAACAGAGGGCACTGTTTCGATTGTGAGGATCGCTCAGGAGGGATCCCCAAGCTGATGCAGGGATATGATGGTGTGCTCATCGCCCTTGGACGGCAGTCCATTGCACCAATTTTCTGCAACATGCATTCATGTTGTTTGCCCAGCTGGGCCCCAGGCAGAAGTAGACAGACACGCAGCAAGCATGCGCATTGCAGGTTGTTTCAATTTAACCTCAAGACAAGACAGCAGTTCCATGGTGTTTTCCAGTTCTGGCGCTGATGGGGCTCCTGCATACACGTCAGCAATGGCCCTTTGTGCTTAGAACATGGGTGTTTCACAGCTTCAGGGCTGTGTGGTGCACCTTCCCTGCTTGTGCCTTTGCTGTTGGGAGCTGTTCTTGGTGCACACCGCAGAGGGTTGGAGTACTTGCCACAGCTCCTTAATGGTGGCCATCACACCTGCACAATTCTGCAGGTGGTAACAGTGCCTTTGTTGCCGCCCAGCAACAACAGTATTGTGACAATCTTTGCAAGTCATTGCTTGACAATGTACAGTCCCCAACCGCTTCATTGTTGCCAGTGGCCTGTTCCCCTACTTCTCATTGGCTGGGGCAGCTCACATTTGACGAGATGTTATCCGACCCTGTAGCACTGTTCTTGGAAACAAGCAATGTAAAGTAGCAACAAAGGCGCAGCTTGTATATCAAAGGTTGGTTCTGCACAGTCCGTTGTGCAAGTCCATCGTACTCGTTACAACGCAATTCGTTTCTTTTGGTCCTCCTTTTAGCTTTGGACCTGTTCATTCTTAGTTTGGTCTTTAGGCGACTGATCCCATTCATGATCTGGAGAAAAGTTTCCTTGAATTAGCCTGCACAACACACATCGTTCACGTTTTCTGCGGTTGACGTAAACCTCTTGGACGAGTGTGCTGTTCCCAGCATTTGCGTGATACGCTTCCATGGTGCTTTGGGATTTCACGTTCCTCCCGCAAGCACCTATCTTTCGTCGTCGCCATTAGTGCACCATGTAAGTAGCTCTCTGTGTGTCTTGATTCGGTGGTGCGTAATATTTTGGATATTTGCATGACACACACGGTGCATGGCAACGACATGCTGATCACCACAGTTGGGAGGTCTTGTTTCAGATAAGAACAATGCCCAGAGAGTCGCCCCTCTCTTTCAAGAACATAACAATTTGTGCGCAAGTTGATATTGTCCACAACATCGTATGCGATGCTCGAGGCCGCCAGAAGCTTCTGTGGCTTGGTTCCTGAGATGGAAACCAACGCCGCTGACTGCCTCACTGAGGAGATCAGCGAACAGCATACCATAAACAGGGGCGCCGTGGTGCAACCTCCTTTGGAGGCTACGTCTTCCGTCATCTTAACAACTGCACATATCTTGACACACTAGAGTGGGTTTGCGCTGTTGCAGCTCTCCAGGAAACCAGACTGCAGGCATGAAGGCATGCAGTTCTTTGCATGAATTTGTTAATGGTTGCGAATTCGAGGCTTGCAAAGGTGAGTGGCTGTCCGCTTCAATCACCACAACCTCCCCACCGGAATGCCTCCACCTCCATGCAAAACTGTGCACAGCCCCCAGCGGGCTTGTTCCTCATTGCAAATCCCAGCAGCACATTTCAGAGCCAGAAAGAATTTAAAGAATATGGGAAATCAAATCAACAATCCTGCAGTCCCTAAAGAGCTCTGTGACGCTGCCACATCAGCCTGTGCCCCATGGGACTGCCGCATGCAGTTCAGTCGTGGAACACCCCCTGTAGCGCCCACTTGGCCCCAAACCCCACTGCGCAGCACGCCACCTGCATCACCAACACCCTCACACACAGCGCCTCCTCGCCGCAGGGCCCCATCAAATGCAACACCAGGTTGATGAGGTTCCAGTTCGGTGTGGCGTGCAGCAGGCCTGTGCGCGGGTCCAGACGCGGCAGCCTGTGCCGCGGGCAGGGCACGATCTTCAGCAGCTGGGGCAGGGAGTACACGAAGTTGATGAGCTGGGGCAGGAGGAAGATGAGCAGTGTCTCGCTGTAGTGGCCTAGGATACCAGCCACAGCGATGGCCATCCCTGCAAAGTATGTGTAGGTGTCGCCCACAAAGACCTGGGCTGGGTACCAGTTGAAGCCCAGCAGGGCGAAGCTGGTGGTGGCCAGAGGGAGCATCAGGAAGGCGGAGAACAGGTGGCCGTTGGCCATGGCCCCAGCTGCAGCCTTGTTGGCACTGGCGTCAGGCACGCTCAGCTCCATGATGTTGTGGAAGAGCACGGCGCACGAGATTATGAACGTCTGGCCCACCTCCAGACCGTTGACGCCCGCCAGGATGTTGATGGAGTTGGTGCAGAAGATCGTCAGCAGGATCATGTACACCTGCACAGAGGAGAAGTATCACCATGATGTGCATCAGACCCAAAAAAACAGGCCCAGCGTTGGGGCACCCTGTCCCAACAACAGTGCACTGGGGTCTCCCCTGCAAAGCTGCACGAGTGGCTGGCGCAAAGAGCAACGCAGCAACCTAGGGAGGGGCGTCGAGCAGTTGCCAGCCAGGAGTCAGCAGATAAGCACGAGGGCGAGGGGTGGGGAAAAGGGGCTGCCTGGGATAATGAACAGCAGGAAAGCGTCCCAGTCGAAAAGCAGCGCAAGAGCAGCGCACACCGCAGGGCAGTCAGCCCGGGATGGTGGCGTGGCGAGAACGAGGGCCTGTAAACTGAACATTGCAACCACAGGCGTGTCCCCGCAGGACACGAGATCGGGCTGTTCCACAGCTCATTCGACCCCAGCAGCGCCGCGAGTCGACGCCGCCGAACGCGCAGCGGCGCCGTGGGCCCTCCGATCGGCGCCGCCCGCCCGTCCACCCGCCGGCCTCCCTCCCTTCCGGAACCGGTTCCGTCTCCCGGGATCTGTCGCCAGATCGCCAAAACATCCGTCGGACACCTGGCGCTGCCGCGGCCCATCGCCGGATGAAGGGATTCTTGCCAACAGCAGTTCGCGGCTGTCGCGCTTCCGCGCACCGTGTACAGGAAGCCCAGGTCCAGGAAGTCCGGCAGGCCCATGACGCCGCGCAGCGGCTTGGGGATCACCACGCTGGTCCCGCCCGAGTACGCCACCACCAGCGGCAGCGCCGCGATCGCCGGCAGCACCAGCTTGACCCTCCATCGAATGTCCAGCACGTCGTCCGCGAAGCCCAGGAACAGCATGAAGCAGATCGTTGCCAGCGCGGCGTTGTAGTCCGACCGCCAGTCCCTGCCCTTCGGCATGATCCCCGCCCCCAGCGCGTGGTCGTAATGATGCAGCTGCTGGATGAAGACGATGCACACCAGGTAGACCACCCCCGAGGCCAGCCCCAGGGCCTCCGGCACGCGCACCTCGCCCGCCTCCGTGCCCTTCTTGTTGATGTCGTAGCCGAAGAGGCCCGCGCGCAGGGTGTAGGCCTTAGCGATCGGCACAAGCCAGCGCGTGGCAGCGAAGCCCGACCAGCTGATCAGCGCGGACACCAGCAGGGAGCGCTTGGCCCAGCCGTCGTCCAAGTTCAGGAAGGCGAACACGCAGGGGAAGGTCCCCACCAGGGCCAGGGCGAACAGCGTGTAGCCGCGGCGAGTCATCGCCATGGCAGGAGGGATGGGGGAGTTTTGGTAGGGCGAGCCGGCCGGATGGGCCAGCCGCCGGCGGCCGGGAGCGGAGGACGGGTTTGAAGGGGTGGTGGTGGGGGTGGGGGGACGGCCGGGCGGGAGGCCTGCAGTCGGGAAACTGGGGACCGACGTCCGCGCTGCAGGCATTCCAGGGCGCGGATTGCGGCCCGCGCTGATCAAGGATGACGCATGCTCCGGGCGGTTTGTTTTTTGGCTGGGTCCCGGATTCGGACACAGCCGTCGCGACTCCGGACTGCGTGTCGTTTTTTTAATGGCATTCGTGGGCTCGACAGGGGCCCTAAATGAGGACACTTTTCAATCAAGATATCTTCTGTATGAAGGAGAGGGGGAGCCATGAGCTCCTTATTTCGTCCAAAAGCTATGCAGCAGAAAAACTATTCACAATTTTGTCGAAAAACTATTCAGTTAAAAAGCCATTCAGAGTTTTGCCGAAGACTAATCAGCGCTTTGTGTGCCCAGAAACGGGTGTGCACTTACTTGCGGATGCTCTAACTCAGATGATTTGCCGCAAGAAGTTCCCAAAATGGCCCCAAAATGGGATAAATGAAATTTTGGTTCAACACCCTACGCCCCAGTGATTCTATCAAATTCTAGCCTTTAAGGCTTCAGTGAAACGTGAGGCGCTCTGCACAGCAGAGACACCTGCGAATGGGCGGACTATGTGTTGCATGTCCTTCAGCGATCACCATGTTCCCTTACAATTGCAACATAACCTTAAATCACACCCAAGGAGCATCACACCCGCACATTGTAGCACGTGTGGTGAAGATTCACGTGTTGCTGCTGGGAAGCCATGCTGTTCTTATGTGTTCAGGAGATTTCCAGTGATTCCAAAAATACCCAAAATTCCTTGGCCAAATTAGGCCCAAATCAAACAAGAGGTCCGAATTTTGGACGAAGCACTTCGATTTGGACAGTGTACTGCAGAGAAACGATGAAGAAAACGACTGGCTTGCGGGTGCGGATCATCGAAAATGGACAGTTGCTTCCGATATTGTGGTCACGAGCATTTTTGATGACCACAATATCGCAAGCAATTATTTCGGCGCAGCTGTTCGTTGTTGACACGAAACACCAAGACCATGTTGCGTGAAACACGAGGCAGAATCTGGCTGGTAGATTCCAAGCCAAGCTTGTGCGAACCTTGTGCATTCTTTGAAGGAGCCTTCCAGATTGACAAGCCTCCAACCTCCAACATTGAAACCGCCCAACGTGTGTTCGTCGGGAAACCGGACTCCCCGCCAATCGCTGGCATGGGCAGTGCTTCCAAAACCTACGCCATGCGCTTTTTGCCGCGCTATCTGTACCTCGAGAATAACAAGAGCTGGCATAGGCCTTCGTGTTTCAAGTTCCCTCCCCAACAGCCAGTTTGTTGCTTTTGCCACAGAGGCTCTTGTAATACAAGACATACTATGTTCAACGCTCAAACACATTTTAGTACTCAAATACACTGTGGTCGACATGACAGCGCTGACATGACGCAATTCGCCCTGTGCGGTGCAAGCGCGGATAGCCACAGTCGATAAGGGATAAAAGTCCAATGGCCATTGAACACACACACAAGCAGCAAAATTTCGGGCACGTATTTGCAAAGCCAGTGCCCATCCGTATCGAATTTCGCACTTGGATCCGATATTCAAAACGAATTTACTTGCACCGGCTGTCAGCAGCACGAAAAGGTACATCCACAGGTGCGCTTCTCCGGCCCCCAGTCTACAATGTCTTCGGCACATTTCTGCAAGAGCAAATACAAAACGCAAATGCATCTTCACTACCGCATTCCCCATGGCCATTTCATCAGCTTCGGCCTCTGCCCTTGGATGCCTTTCCCGCGCCGCCCCTCGCGGCCTGCTTGGCGTCACATCTCTGCGGGATGCTGGAGAAAGTTATCTCCAGCCCCACCGCACCGCCACCCTGTTGCACATCCACCCCCCTGGCGACCTCTCTGCCTGCCCCCTTTCCACCTGCCCCCTCCCCTTCCCGCCCCACCAGCCCTACAGACGACCCTGGGGCCAGGCCCGCCCTCGCGGCCTCCTGCTCGGCTCTTATGAGGCCGGCGCCCCGCAAGGCCTGCTCGCCGTCCGCGTCCTCCGGTGCGAAGAGGTACCTGGAGGGTATGCACGTGGCGGCGGCCTTGCGCCACACGTTGCAGGCCACCATGAGGCAGTGGGCCAGCAGGAAGACGGGCAGAACGACGTTGATGTCGGTGCCAAAAAAGGGCATCACCTCCATGGCGCCCATCTCGCGCGAGAACACCGTGGATCTCCCTGGGGGCATGCGGCCAGAGCTGGGTGAATTAATGAATGAGTGCTTATAAAGTTATCACCATGTGTATGCCCATATGTATATGCCTTTGTAAATGCCGTCTCAAAAATGAGCCTGTCGTGGAGCGTCCTTCCGTGTGCGTGGTGCGCAGGGCATAAAGAATGTGTGCTCGTTAATGGGTGGCAACCGGTTCACATTAATGTGACCTGACCTGTCGCAAATTTTTGCGCCAGGCCGGGCACCGCGTTGGGCATGAAACTACATCAAGGATGCTGCAGTGGCAATGGCGTCGCAGCAACAAGTATGAACCCGTGCAGCCACGCGATACGCGCCAACAGCATTCAATGCACACCACTGGTTGGACTGTGCATTTTCACTGCACTGTAAGGCAAATGCAGCAGACAACGGGCACGGTTTATGCCGGTATAAGTCGAGCATCATCCACCAATTAGAACGCAGCGTTGTTGCGGCCAGCGTCGCGGAATGCCTCTGATGCTCATACATACATTCGGCGGGCTTTGGAGTTCAACTGAACTCCCTGGCCTCGCCATGCTTTCTGACTGTTCGTGCCGATTGGCATCCTCAACACCCCGCACCTTCGTGTTGATGGTTCAAGCGCACGATGTGCAGAAAATTGAATGCCACGGGGGCGGCGAATCTGCATAGGAGGGCGCCGTTTATGAGTAGGGAGGACGAGGGTGTAGCGTTGGGCACCAGATTGTAGAAACTGAAGCCGGCGATGCTGAACAGCGAGTGATACGTGCACAGGCACATGTAGCCCTGCATTGCGTTGGGCAGTGGACCGTCAGGTGTCAGTGGTGGAGAGGGGATATAAGAAATCTGGCTCGATTTTGAGCTCGATTTGGTTGCTTCTTCATGCAAGCAGTGAATAAATCTCACTTCCAAAACGGGGAGTTTCCATGTCAACGCATGGCACATCATTTGTGCGCAGGTTTGGAAATTTTGACTGAATGGATGGTTTTGGGCAGTCGTTGTGTGCAATGGATTCATCTGGCCACTGCGCCTGGGGCCCCTAGGCTAGGGCATGGAGCGGGGTGACTGATCCTGTGGTGTGTCTAGAGTATGAAGGTGTGGTTACTGCTGCAGCAACCGCGGAAGCAATTAATTCGCCCATGAGATCGTCTCAAAAATTGATCAACTTCCTGCTCGCTGCCGTCAGCCACAAGAAAAGTCGTCAGCAGTGATGACAAGGCGTTGCGCCGGCTGTCCCTTACCAGGGGCACGACCACCAGCACGAGGACGCCCCACTCCCTGGCCGTGGACCTGATGAGGCGGGAGAAAGGCGAGATGTCGGGGCTTCGCCCCAGGCCAATGGTCACCTCCGACCACAGCACGGAGGCCGACAGCAGCGCCAGCAGGCAGGCCGCACCGCACCGCATCCAGGGCTTCAGGAAGCAGCGGTAGTGCCAGCGCAGTGCCTCCATCCGAGGGAGGCTGCCCCGGCGCTTGGCCTCGCCGCCGGCGCCCTCGCGGTACCGGCAGATCTCGGACAGCTCCAGAGCCCGCGCGAGCGTCCTCAGGTACATCACGCGTGCGCCTGGAGTCCCAAGTCATTCACGTCGGTAGAACGGCATTGGGAAAGGAAATTTTGCCTTGCGCAGTCTCACGCAATTCCCAGGGCGATGCACAGAACATATCTAATATATTCTGTACATTCTAATCGTTTCTAATCTATTCTGCAGAGGCCTCTCGTAGCGGTGTAAGGAACTGGATCAAAATGATGCCCACTTTCTTGGGACGTTGCTCGTGGCAGCGCGGAAGGCCGTGGATCCGATCTATGCAGAATGGACAAGAGTTTTCAGGATGGCAATGCACTCGGCAAACATTCAAAGGGAACGTCTACCAGCCAAGGGGCAAAGCCGCGGAGCAGATCCTCTTGGCAAAATTAGAAGGGGAGGGACAATATACACATGGTGGTTCTGGAGGAGGAAGCGCACATGAAAAATTGTCGATTGCACGCCTGGCCCGCCGCCTCAGGGCCGCCAAGCTCCTAACGTCACAGGCGTAGTCCAGGTCATCCAAAGATAGCTGGTCAATGTTGCGCCATTTAGGCTGCGCCTGGCTCACGAATCCCTGTGCCACCTCGCGCTCCAACTCTTGGCTGACTTCCTCTATGTAGGGAAGCAGTGGATCTCGGCGGTATATCTGCTGCCTTGTGGCTGCCACCACTGTTGCCTGGATAGATAACCACAGGGGGTTGGATTTGGCATGCTCAGTCTGCTTCTCAATTTCACGACAATGACCGATAAGCAGTTTCGCACTCCGCTTACCACTCTTTGCATCTCACCCTTCGTGTCCTCCACTCTGGTCCCCAGCAATCCAATCCTGATGATGCAAAATGCGCCTGTGAGTATTTCATCTGCGGTAGGAATTGTCTTGCTATGGGCAGTGGGTGAATTGGTTTGTTCTATTCCAAAGTTTTGTAGCACACATAAAAACATGAGAATTTCAGCGCCCCGGGGATCCCTAATGCAGAACTAAAATATTGGCCGTTCACTATGCTTGCTGTGCTGTACAGAAACAAATCGGCAGAGCTTCAACTTTGATCGCACAATACTGTTGTTGTTGATGATCAGGCCATATGGAGCATCACCACTACAATCGTCATGTGTCAATTCTATGCCTGAAAATCTGAAAAAATTTGCGCTCAACCACAAGCTGCATTT